GTAAAAACTGGTTGTCTCCTGGGAGAAGAGCGTTTTTCCATGTACTGTTAGCGTTTTTAGAATTGTGTACCTTGAGGACACCACTAAACCTGCAGGTTGGGGAGAGGGGCCGACCTGCCACATCCATAGAGAAGCAAACCAGCAGGGAAAAAGAGCAACTGGCACACCAAGCCCTGAGGATGGCATTCATCCCTGCACGGAGCTGCAAAGACACAGACAGGGCTGTAGGATGGACAACAGCTGGAGACACTATGGCCCCTCGCTGGAGCACACCACATCAGAGGACAATACTGGGGACACATGGCAGGGAGTGTGTCCAGTCTGACCACCTCCAGTGGAACAGACCAAGAAGTGAATATAACAGACCAACAATGGGAGGAAAGCAAAGCCACAAAATCCCTGAGGAGCCTCCAAAATAGACTTCAGGCTAGGAGGGGAAGTTTGCAGAACCCCCAGGACCCCTACCAGTGGAGGGAGGACCCCTACCTCCCCTACCACTGAGGAGGTAATCATAAAGGTCAGCAGATAGACCTCGAATTATGCTCTTTTGGGGTTTTTTTAATAGTTTTTTTTTTCTTTTTATTCAATGTTTTCTTTTCTTTTTGTTTTGTCTCTGTTATTGTTATTTTGCCTACTGATATAAGATAGGCATGGGAAGCAAGCCCGAGGAGAAAGCAACGGGACTGATGGTTCCAGAGGGACTTGGAGGGAGGAGGAAGCACGGGAAAGGAGCAGTGAGCAAGCAACACCATAGGCAGGAACAACTAAGGAATTAAAAGCAACAATGAGAACATAAAAATTCCAGTGGTTGGAGCAAAAGCAATCTAGTTGGGAGAAATTACTAAGAGGTAGAAGAAGGGTGAGAAGAAGGGTAAGTGTGTGGTGGGGCAGGAAGAAGGTAAAAGGAAACAGAGGAAAGATCTAGGAAGCAAAGCTATGGATAGAGATATAAACATAGGTGTGTACTTATGTAAATATATTAATTCATAAAAATAGAGGTATTGGCCTAGGTACATCTATTTATATGGCAATACATCGAGGAAGTGGACAGACTTTGGGCCTCTGCTCAAGCCCTGCCTCTATGCAAAAACACTTTATTCTAACAACCTGGTATTCTGTAATGGTCACCCTCACAACACGATCACTTGAGACAAAATGGTACATAAGCAAATGTGGTGGAGAAAGATGATGGTGCCCGGCTATCAAAAGATATAGCATCTGAGTCTTCTTAAAGGCTTGAAGTTAAACAAGCAGCCATTTAGTAGAGAAGCAACAAGCACACATGGAAGAAGCACACCAGCCTGTGTGATCATGAGGTGTTGATGGAATCAGGTATCAGGTACCAGAAGACCCAAAACAAACCAAAAAATATTGTTGAGAATGAGGGGGGTCCAGAGCAGAGACTCAAAACTGATCTGTAGATCATAGGATCACAAGGAAGGGATGAGTCAACCAGGTCGCAGTGTAGCACTGATGAAACACACATTATTCCTCTGGTTCTTTGAGGCTTCCTCATCCCCACTATCATGACCTCAGTCCTGCCTGCCTTTCAGTTCTGACTAGACTAGAGCGTGTACACTGGTTCAGATAAGAGCTCACAACACATGGAATCCAGATCAGATAAACCCCAGGTACAGAATTGGGAGTAGAGATACCAAGAGGGTAAGGAGAAGGTGGGGGGAGGAGAGGAAAGGGGAACCAATTGCAATGATCCACACATAACCCGCCCACCTCCCAACGTGGGTGAAGGGAGACAGTGGTCGGTTTAAGACATGAAAACAATAATAATTCATAAGATTATCAAGGGGTCATGAGGGTGGAAGCGGGGGAGGGAGGGAAAAAAGAGGAACTGCTACCAAGGACTCAAATAGAAAGTATATGTTTAGAAAATGATGATGGCAACATATGAACAAATATGCTCGAAACATGTTATAAGAGCCCCCAATAAAATTATTTTTTTAAAAAAGGTAGGTTTAGCCCCTCAGGGTTAGTGGTGAAAGTGGTGTTATCGGGAGGGTGGAGGGAAGGTGAGGGAGAAAGGGGGAACGGATGACAGGTCTACATATAACCTCCTCCCTGGGGGACGGACAGTGGAGAAGTGGGTGAGGGAGACATCGGATGGTGTAAGATATGATAATATAATAATAATTTATAAATTATCAAGGTCTCAGGGGGAGGAGGGAGCGGTGAGGGAGGGGAAAAATGAGGAGCTGATACCAAGGACTCAAGCAGAAAGCAGATGTTTTGAGAATGATGATGGCAACATATGTACAAATGTGCTGGACACAAATGATGTATGTACAGATTGTGAAAAGAGTTGTATGAGCCTCTAATAAAATGATTTTTTTTTAAAAGTACATTTTAAAAGTGCTTGGCAAGACGTTACACAAATGCCAAGATGACTCAACCTTTCCCATGAAGCAAGACTATACTGGTGACCAAATTTTCATTTTCTTCTTAACATTGTTTTTTTGGGGGAACCCCAAATTAAAACATATCCTATAAACACCTGCAAGGTAGCAAATCCCATGTGCTTTTCTAGCTGTAGTCTCTAACTTCCACGATAGGACCTTTTCCTGATGGGTCTGGACAAGAGAAGTTCCAGTGGGGTGTACTTGTTAACAGGATTCATTGTGACTACCAACCAGCTGGGTATAAAACAGGCCGTCTCAGGAGGCAGGGGTCAAATTCACTACCAACAAGAGCTAGGAGTGCAGCACATCCCCTGGACCTTGAGATCCCTGCCCAGTGAACCTCCTTAACCTGAGAGGCAACTTTGACATCAGAGGAATGACACAGGGGCATCAATAGCAGAATAGGAGCAAGCCAACAGAGCAAGTAAACACCTGAGTGCTTTCAGGCAGGAAGAAGCTGGCTTGGGAAGTGGGGTGCCCCTGGGAAGGCAGGTTGGCTGTCCCAGGGAGCTAGAGCTGAGTGCCTTCAGGTTGAGGCTTAAAGGGGTGTGTCATGCCCTTTGGACATTAATTAGCAGCCTTAAATGAACTTTGTAACAAGTCCTGACTCAAGAAGTGTATCCTGAGCATTTCTCAGCTGAATTGTAACCTGCTAACTTCCATAATAAACCCTATAATCACAAGCATTGTCTGAGTTTTGTGTTGCCATTGCAATGAATTCTAGAACCTAGCAATAAAAGTACTGTGGGAGGCAGAGCAACACCTTTTTATTAAGGCAAAGGCAAACAAAGACAACCATTCTACAATGAGGAAAACAGACCATCTGTGTTCACAGGCCAGAGATTTCAACGGAGTCCTCCAATTCACAGTCCTCCTTATACAGGATCAGTGGACAAAGAAACCCACCGCCTGATCAAAATTGGTGGCAGGTCAATTCTTCACTGTCCAAAGCAGGACTATGGACACAGGAGGAAAGGACCATGACTAGAACATGTACACAACTGCAGGTTTTACGTTTACAGGATTGGTTCTGAGGCTTTGACTACCTGGTAGTCAGGGATGACTCACTTCCAAGAGGCCTGGAGTTTTAGCCATCAGAAATCCAACTTTTAGACCACATGGGGCTACTTTTGACAAATCATTAAGGACAAGCCCAGACAAGTTCCCCATTCTCCCTGCAAATCTGAGCACAAAACTGCCCCTCCTTGGGTTTGCCTGGAGTTTTCACCTAATTTCAAACACACTCTGAGGGTATAACTGCCACATTTGTGGTTAATGGTCAGAGAGAATGCAAACGCATTCTGAACTCTAATGAGTGGGAAGGCTTCAAAAAATTCATGGGAAAATTCCATTATCTTTCCATTGCATTTTTCCATGCACTTTTAAAAGATCCCTCAGACAAGCCTGTGTCAGCAACTATTTTTCAAAGACTAGAAACTCATTTTTGGTTCTCCCAACCATCTCCACCCAGTGACTCAGCGACTAAAAGGGGTGGGTCTCACTATGGAAGGCTCATGGATGGCATGAAGCCCAGGAGCACAAGAAGTCCCTAACACATTTCTGAGGGGGAAAAAATGCAATACGGGAAGGGTAAACTGAAGTAGGCCAACAGCACATATTACAATTTTCCAAAATCGGCCTCAGCATTCCGAAGGACCATTTAAATCAGTCAGCTAGAGCTCTTGACTAAATACCCCGGAAGCAGGTGTACTCTGCATAGACGAGGGAAGGCAGCCACTAGTGAACGAGGTAGGAGTGAGTGGCAGCTTAAGTTAGCCTGGCCAAAATGGCCCTCTCTAGTACCTGAAATTCTTTCCTTGCTTGAAAGGAAACGCATTACACTCATGAATTAGAACAGATCAGATTAGCTCCTTATCAACTGGAAAATGCAAGGGAGTTTAACTGCAGTCAGAAGATAGCACTCTGACGACTTCTTTTCATTTCTATCATTTAGTGGTGGTCATCGGCCATGGCCAGACACCAGCACCCATGTGCTATTTTAGGGAACGGATACGGTGAATGCAATCTCTAAGTATAAACCAAACCCACTGGGGTCGGATGGATGTCGACTCAGAAATTGACCCCGTGTACAATTTTAGGTTTAATTATTCTGTCCTAGGGTGAACTATGCGCAATAAATATTTCCCAAGTGTTCCTAAATTTGCTGTGTCACGAGAAAATCTATTCCCCAGCCAGACGTGGCTCCACGGTGCTCGCTGGTGAACCAATTCCGCCTGGCAGGAGGTCCCTTCAGCAAGGCCACCTGTGGTCTCAGCCCTCTACCTGTGGTCACCTGGCAGAGGGTGGGGCGTCCCGGCGCTTCCCGAAAGGCCGAGGGGCAGAAAGGACAAACAAGACTTCCCTGTAGTCCCAGCGCGCCTCACCTGACTCCCCGCCCCCATCTCGCTCCCACTCGCTCCCAAGTCCGGTGGAGGCACGCAGTGCCCGCCACCCAGGGGCCCGCACGGCCCTCCGCTCTGCCCTTGACATTCCCAAGTCCACGAGGCCAGGCACCAGGGCGAGCCGGGGGCAGACGTGACTCAGGGGGCCCCCGGGTGCGAAAGGCAGGGGGCGCCGGGTCCTCACCTGACTCCTAGGCAGCCGCGCCACAGCCCGACCGGTCTCCCGCAAGATGGAGCCCGGGGCGGGAAGGGGCG